GTGCCGAAATCGAATCAAGTGACTCAGATCACTGATTGGATTCATGTGATTTTGATTATTGATTCAAGTTAAGGAATTCAAAGCAGTCATTCGCATCAAACAATTCAGATCAATGAAGCGAATCAAATAATTTGTAACAATAATTCAAAACAAATGATTTGGAGCAATTATTCGAATCAAGTGATTCAAATCACTGATTTAAATCATCTGATTCGGATCATTGTTAAGTATAAAGATGATCACTATTTGAATGAAATGATTTCAGATCAGTGATTCGAATCATGCTATTCGGATTAATGATTAGAATAAATTGATTCAAATCAAGCGATTCCGATCACTCATTCGAACCATGTGATTTGGATCACTATTCGAATCAAGTGATTCAATTCAGTTATTAGAATCGTGCGATTTGGATCAATATTCAAATCGTGATTCAGATTACCCTCTTGAATCACGTGATTCGTATCACTGATTCGAATCATGTGATTTGAATCATTGATTCTTATGGAGTTATTTAGATCACTGATTCGAATCATGCGATTCAGATCACTATTCAAATCAAGTAAATCAGGTCAGTGATTCGAATCAAGTGATTCAAATCACAGATTCAACTCGTACGATTCTGATCAATAGTTTGAAGCAAGTGAATTAAATCTCTGATTTAAATCCTGTGATTCAAATCACTGATTCGAATCATGTATCATGTAATTTGGATCACAAATCGAATAAAGTGATTGAATTCCTTGATTCGAATTACGTGATTTGGATCAATATTCGATTCAAGTGATTCAGAGCACTGATTCGAATAAATTAATTGAGATCACTGATTCAAATCAATTGATTGAGATCCCTGATTCAAATTATGTAATTCGGATTACTTATTCTTATGAAGTAATTCAGATCACTGATTCGAATCATGCTGCTTGGATCAGGTGATTCGAATCACGTGATTTAGAGCAGTGTTAGAACGAAGTTATTTATATCACTGATTGAAAAAATGTGCTTCAAATGAAGTGATTTCAATCACTAATTCAAATCAGGCGATTCGGATCGCTATTTGAATCAAGCAATTCGGTTCATTGATTTGGATCGCTATTCGAATCAAGTGATTCAGATCAGTGAGTCGAATCATGTGATTTGGATTAATATTCGAATCAAATTGCTCAAATAACTGATTCAAATCATGGGATTCCTATCAATATTCGAATCAACCGATTCAAATCGTGTTATTTGGATTATTATTATTATTTGGACTTTAAAAAATATATGAGTTCCATGCTTAGACTCTTTCTCATACAACTTCTGATGTTTAATTCAATTTCATGAAAAAAAGAAAACTTATTAACTGATATTAGCTTCAGTTCTTAAAAATTTAAAAAAAAATAATTAATAGCTAACTTAAAATTTTAACATTGAAAACAACCAATTTTAAAAGTAAAAATGAAATGTTTACAAATTTCATATAAATATTTGTATTTTTAATGTTCATGTCTATAGTGTCTACTCTCAATATTAAGAAGGAATTAATAAAATTTTTTAAACTTAGTTTATGTACTCTCCTTTGTTCTTCACACAGAAGCAAGCTAAAATTACCATTAAATTTTGCTACATTATAGCAGTAGTTGACAATCCGTGACATAAATAATACAAAAAAAGAATAAAATGACATCAATATATTATGTTGTAACACTACTTGTAAGAAATTTTGTTTTTATTCCGCGTTCTATAATATCAAGAAATGTCGTTTATTCAATTCAAATTGAGTGTTTCAACAGCTTATTTTAAGGGAGTATTTTAAATACAAATGAGATAAATATGAAGACTTAATGAGAGATGACAAATCTATATTCTTGGAAAAAATCTCGAATAGGGTTAAGTTAAGTAAAAATATAAATTGAAACTCAGGGAATGTACTAAACTTTTCAATTTAGTTCAATATCCTATGTTTCACTTGATATTCAATATAAAAATCAACGAAAACTGATGGGGCATTATATTAAGTAGTTTCTTATCATTTTCTTCGACTTGGACTTCTTTCGATTCAGAAGTTTTCTTTCGATTCAGAAATTTGTCAAAATCTGCTGAGATAATAGTTTGAATATACTTTGATAGTCTTAAGTCAAAGCTGACGACAGCTCTAGTTTTCATTGTGAGTTCATCAAGAAGAGTCCACTTTCTTGTCTCAAAGTAATGATAGATGATATTAGTAAAGGCGGATTCAGGGGAAATATGATGCAACAAACAGTGGTCGTTATTTTATTTATTTTTTTTTTTTTGACAAGACTATTACATACACTTTTTTGTTTTTCTGTTTTCTCCATTAGACTGTCAGCACTACCAGGACCTAGTTAGGTGGGATACAGAGAAGGGATTCCGTGCCAGTTAGGGGGTTATAATTTGTCTACGGTAAGAACTCCCCCCGCCCCAAAGTCTGAGACCGTCAGTTGCTGTAGGAACAAGAATAGCTCATTTTAGGGAGGGTAGCTTTTCTTCACTCTATTCCCTTGCAAAAAAAAGATTCCCTTTCTCTCGCAAATCCAAGCCAAAACCTGTCCCAAACAATAACCCCCACACCCTTAATTGAAATAGTTATACCTCGTTTCCACAGTCACCGCCACGGGTCCAGACGAATGGTTGGGGGAATTCCTTTTTAAGACAAACTATACCTGTCCTTGTTTTGTTTAATTTGCTTAATTCACTCGGAATTGTTATTTAACAGATGTATAAAGGAATTTATTTGTCCGTATGTTTTTTTTCCTTGTATTGAAAGCACTTCGCATATTTTTTTTTTTTTTTTTTTTTTTTTTTTTTTGATTTTNTTTTTTTTTTTTTTTTATAAAATAAAGGAAGTGAGCAAATCTTAGCCCCAATTTTGCATAGGAGTAATATAGGTCATGTTGTCTTCTCGGCACAACGTTCTTAATAATGTACTTCCACACGATTATTATTAGGCCAAAATTCATTATTTATTGTTAAAATTTGATTTAAACTTGGCTGGTGATGTTACACTGAACAAAAAGAATAAATTTTTGCAGTATAAATAATTATTTAACGTACATACACAGTATGTATTCACTTGTGACTCAATGTTTCCACGAGTTGATTTTTAAGGTCAAAGGAACGTGCTAAGATCATTTCTGCATGAAATTTTGAATATTTTTTTTTATCATTTAAAATATAAAGTTACATTTTTTTTAACAGTTCTTTATGACTCATGGGTTCATTTGCAAATACATTATAGTCTAATGATTTGGGAATGTGACTATTACATAACGACCATCTGAAATGAATAGATGACTTTAAAAAAATTTCTGAAAATTTTATTAGATACACTAAATATGAATTCAAATCTACTTCCGTCTTTGTATAAAATATGATCCCAAACGAGTGTGAAAACGCGAAACATAAACTTAACGAAATATATCAAATACTGATAAATGTATTACTGAAGTTATTTAGCTCCCAAATCCTTCAATAGTATTTGCAAAAATGCTCAATCAAATGGTAATAAAAGACTATTAACCCTTTCGCGCCGACTATCACAAATACGAGCCATCATAAAACCGTATCAATCAGGGTAAAAAGATAAAACTGGTAGCTAAAGTAGTTCTCTAGCAGTTTATTTGTGGGAGGGGTTATAATTGCTTGATTTATTTAATTCACCATTACCTAGTTCAAAATAAAACTATTTAGTTATACTTTGAACTAACATTGATTATATCTATGATAAGGGGCCGGGATAGCCTGGTTGGTAGGGCACTGGACCCATGTCCAAGATGTCGTGGGTTCGATCCCCGTTGGCCAAAGACTCCCCGTGCAGTAAATGGTGACTGATGCACGTTAAATCTGTCGAGTCGCAAAGTCCTCTATGTTCCCATAACAAATCAATACCTTTGGGGATATTGATCCAGGAGTTTCCTTGTCTTCTGGATTGGTTCAAAATTACAAGGCCACGGAGTTGAACATCAGTAGTCATAAACCCAAAAAATTGAGTCGGCTGTTCAACGACGGATATAAGATATAAAAATATATCTATGCTTAAACTACCAGTAATTAAAGTAAAGGCAAAGTAAGTTTGTCAAATTAGCAAAGCCTACATTTAAGTTACCGTTTTTTATTTATTTACATCCTGATTCTGATTTTGTACAAATGCTTTTATGAATCACCCGTCCCCAAGGGGTTAATGAACCTCTTCACAAAACATATAATTTTACTTACATACTTAATTCTGTTTAATGTTAGTAAATAATCATCATAATAAAATCTTTTTGTTAGTCTATGATGTACATACATCTTTTTCGATCAATATGTCACTTTTATCATTACAATTATTAACATTCGATTAGCATATTATTGGCATGTTAGTCTACGAAGAACAAGCATGTTTTTCGATCAATATGTCACTTTTATCATCACATTTATCAACATTCGATTAACGATTCGAAAACGGACGTTATATCTCGAGTGCCCCATAAATATTAACTAAGAAATTAGTCGACAAATTTAAAAAAAATAATGCAATTCATCAACTAACAAAATATTTGGCAATCTATATTAACATACGTTTTTAAAATACACTAGATAGGCGTGCATTAATTTGATGGTGTAATTTCTGAACATACATCAGGGTGTTTGAAAATAAAGATTTCGCAAACAAAAAAAGCATGATTAAAAGTACAGATAATGAGTAACCACAAATTACTTAGTATAAGAATTGAGGGGACCATTCAAAGGGATTATCCTAGTAATAAATTTTGCTTCAATCTTTTACAATTTGTTACACACTTTATTATTTTTGATACTTCAAATAGCAAAAAATACTGCACATGAATTATATGAAAAAATTACTTTTTTTATAAATAAATTTTAAAAAAAAGCTCTAAAATTTATTTTCTTGTTATATCAGAAATTCGAAAAAGATTTTTTCTTTTGTATTTTTTTTTAAATGAGCATAACAATCAAAAGAATTTTTGGTAGTCTAGAAATATTTGGTATCATACCTCGCAGAAGGTGGATGACCATAATTAACCGGCTGACGGCCAACAGTTGTAATTGGTGGCAAAGCAGCTTCTAACTCAGATGCCATCTTTCATTCTGGAAATTAAATCAAGCACGATTAATATAAACAAAAATATTTATACAGTTAAAGAAAATATCATTGTTGGGTATTATCATAATTCTATCTTGATACTCTTCATGTACATTTCAACAATTTTAAGCATGCATATAAAAACTATGAAATGATCCAAAATAGTGGGGAGAAGTTTGTTGGCTGCATCTCTAGGTTCATCCTTTTAAAATGAGATGAAACAGAATTTGCCATGAAACGTTGTATAGCGTTCTTTTAACGACGCGAGTTCCTAAACAACCATGTTTCTGAAATTATTGGTCCTCGTTAAACTGTGCTACCGTAAAGTGCTCGACTTCGCGCGCAGGTCGTCGGGCTACCGAAGCGGGGGTGCCATCCCCTCCGCAGAGGATCAAAATTGTGATGACATGTCTTCGGATCATCCTCCGGGATGTTTCCCAGACCGTCGCCAACAGCCCATTGTGCAGCTCTAGTGCGACGTAAATTAACAACAACAACAAATTTTAATTTTAGTTTTATTTTCCATTCTTACTGTCGGAACTTCGTGCACTTCTTTTTAAAATCTGTTTTCTTCATACAAGTCTGGTGAGTCTTGAGAATGGGTGTCTGTTTTCGGACACTCGAAACGTGTCGACTTTTTCACTTAAATAATTTACGAAGCAAACTAAGTAACACTTATCAAATTAATTTAATCTGATCTAACAAAACTCTAGCGGTATCCAGACTTTCAGAGATATTTCAATGTGCATTTGACATAATTACCTAATAGATCCTATTATCACATACTCATGATTTGAAGAGTCACATGCTAAATAATTAGTTCAAACGTTTGGATTTATAAATATTCTTAAATAAAATTAAAAGTGCGTCATAATTTGCACGAAATTGTCGATAAATAAAAGAGTTTTATAATTGTGAGCGAATATTTGTTTAAATAGTTCCATGAATATGGTGACTTACGTAAAAAGAAATATTAGCATTAAGGAGATTAAACGTTCTTCAGACTAAACTAATGTGACAGCATTTTAAAGACATCCTATTAGTTCTTCGAAAAGAAGTCATTTATTTAATATACGTGTCACTTTAAACATCGCCTACTTTAATTATTCAACATTATCTTTCAAAAGATCGTATGTTGTTATATGAAAATTCAATCATTCCGCTATTCCGCTTTATTTTATTTTGCACTTTCTTCATTTAAATGCGCGAGTCTACAAAATTTACCCAATATACATTATTTATGCTTTAATATATATATATATATATATATATATATATGAATCCTTAAGGGCGCATTAAATATTCGTTAGTCTTAAAAATCAATTCATTTTTTCGATCCATTTCGATTCATTTTAGATTCGGCATTGAAAGGTTGTTGCTAACGAGGGTGAATACATTATTGATTAAAAGTAAAATCTTGATGACAAATATCAAATGCACCGTAACGACATTACTTTCCGGTCTACTTAATATATATATTTAGATTAATACTATTTAGATATCGGGCACTGGGAACGTTAACAGCAGCAGATTTCTGTCGTTGTTTATGTTATGTGCCCTAAATATGCAATATACTTATCGATTTAAATAAAATTAATACTATAATAACTTTTTTCATTAAATTTTTAGACTTAACTTAAACAATAAATTTGTGGAAAAAAAATTATCAGCGTTGATCTTTTGGATAATTCTATATTTACGTGTAAGTAAATAAAATTTTTCAGAAATATTGAAAAAAAAAACATAAAAAAATACCTCTTGCTTATGCACCACCTCTTTTATGCGCCTTTTTCTTATACGATGGTTTTTTCTGATCATTCAATAGGATAATTATCTTTCGTTTATGCGTCGCTCTGAAAATAAATTTTTCAATTATGCGCCAAAATTTTTCTTAGAATGGACAAAAGTTGTAATTTTTTTCTTTAAATAGAAAAACACACAATTTCTTTTTCTCGACTTTCTAACTATTTTAGTTTCGTGAAATTTTTTGCTATTTTGAATAGGGTGTCTCATCTGTTACACCTCTCACATTGAAAACCCACATTTTTTTAAGGAAAGAATCTTTGCTCAAGCCCAGCTGTTAACTTTACTCCCATGCTGTTTCCTGGGAAAAGGACAGCTGCAATACGAAAGATGAAAGTGACCGTCACTTGTTTTCTGTCAGATAGACTGTTAAGTTTACTGTTAAGTCAGACTGTTAAGTTATAGCGAACTTATAGCGATAGCTATTATTCAGTTTTAACGATAAAGAAGTTAATGAAAAAGTTCCACCAAATCATACAAAAGCGTTTGAAGGTTTAGCCATTATTCGTGATTATTTGCAGTGTAATTCAGCTACTGAAACTCTCTTTTCCTATTTTTATGCACTTTAAAAAACTGTTTTTGATATTCATCGGCAAAAAGAAAAATAAACATCTATTATGGACTATTTAATATGAAAATAAATTGTTATTAAGTATGTTGCCATTTTTGTTTCTTTGTATAGTTACAGTAAATATCAAACCATTATAAATATTAACATTTAATCTTTAGAAATAATTTTATTCATACTCTGATTACAATTTATGTTGCATTTTATAACTTTGAATGGGCTTTTCACTTATGCGTCTCTTTCACTTATGTGCTTTTTTCCCCCTTGGTCCCTTAGACCAGTGACTTGAAAAATTACTTAATGGGAAAGCATTTAGACAGGTTGCCTGCCTTCCTCTGATTTGGAACTCAGGAAACCATTTTTTATACGATCATTTCGATTGCATCGCATACCGCGAATGTGGAGTCATTTTGAGTTCTTTTCCTTTTTTTTTACATTAACGATGTCTATTTTTTAAGGTAAAAGAACTTATTAGTGTTTGGGAAAACACATAGGATAAAATAAAACTATTAACATTAAAACGTTATAAATAATTAATTAAATAAGAAATAAAATAAACTGGAAATGCGAGAACAAGTTTTTTGTTTCAAATAATATTTCATTTAAATTTCACATAAGTACTAACGGAATTGTCAGAAACTTTCTTCTTCAGCAACACAGCTGACAAAGACATGAGGAAGAGGTTTAGAACAACATTTTTCATAAATAATATTTGTCAATATGTTTTCTAAGTTGGTTTTTCATTTTATCTTTTCCCACATGCATTTTTTCAAGATTTTTATGATACTAGGAAGTTCCGCCCCTTGCTCACCAACCTTCGTAATAGCTACTCATACATCTTAGTTTGTTTTTCCCTATATCGATATTTTTTTAAAGAGAAAATATATAATTATTGAAATTTTATGTAAGAAAATTTTGTTAATATGTCAATAGTAAAAAATTGCATGTGAAAAAAATAAACTGAGCTTGAAAGATATAAACATTGGAAATATATAATTTTTGATGAAATAAGAAGTAATTTTTCTAGCTAATTAATTAAAAGATTTATGTTTTTCTGATTAAATTCTTTGCGATCACCACCATTGTTATCATTGTAAAAGTTTGTTCCTTTTTTTTTGACAAGATTTTAAACTGTATTATTGTGAATTTCTCATTGTGGGGGAACATTATATAAGTATAATTTTCATTTTATCGACAGAAAATTTTTGTCGCTTAAATAGCCTGTTAACGAAAAGACCTTGTCAATGAAATGACATATGGACGAAGTAGTTTTATTATCTCACAGATTCATTATATACTGTCTTTTTCTCCTGGCTAACTTCATCCATCGTTCACTCCCTACATCAAGAATCATTCACGATAGTTATTGCAATTGCTTTTGCGATGCTAATCTTCAATACAGCACGTTAAAAAATTAATCTTCTAAATAAATGTGTTAAATATGACTAGAAAAAAATTGTGTAAAATACAACATAAATGTGTAAAATACAATTAGAACACCAAATGTAAAAAAGGTTTTATTTATGCAACGTGATGTGAACATCGGAGTAGGCAATTTTCAAATTAAAAGCTTCTTTTCTGTCAACTTCAACATATTATAAAGATTTTGCATTAGGCTAGGCTAGGATTTAAAAATTCCAACACAAATATACTAAATTACAAAGAAGTGAAAGGGGCATAACGTCTAAAAATTCCAATCTAAAAAATCATAAAAACAGTTTCGAAATTACGCATGACTTTGCCTACGAAATAATCTTTTCTACAAATTGTCGACGAAAATAACCCTGTCGACGAAACGACCTTGACGACGAAATGACTCTGTCTGCCAAATGACCTGGTCGATGAAGTGACCCTGTCAACGAAATGACTTGTCTACGAAATGATCCTGTCGACGAGATGTCCTGTCGATTAAATAACCCTGTCGATAAAATGGCCTGTCGATCAAATAAATAACCTAGTCGATGAAATGATCTGTCGATGAAGTGTTGTCGATGAAACGAACTGTCGATGAAGTAATTATCGTTGAAATGAAATCGACCCCTTTATCTATATCTTTAGAATTAACAAAGCGAATCAGAAAATGTTAACACACACTTAAAAAAATCATATGTTTAAAGCTAATTTTTAATAGTTATTTAATTTATTAATAATTGAAGCATTTTTGATTTGCTAGGAAAATTAATTTTTGCAGTGCAACTTAATGTGACCTTTACATTACATGATGATTCCTTCTTTTCTCAAATTCATTTTTAAAAATTTTAGAGAAATACTAATAACCATTAACGTTTGAAAGTTCTTACCACATTCTTCTCATAACTAGTGGGGAAAATGTTATTTTTGCAAGTTACTATTTCAGACACTAATGTAAATTTTTTTTTGCTTATTTTTTAAATTTCACACAACGTTTACTAACATTTAGAAACCATTTCGTACGATTCAACAAATTTTCTTAATAGCAGGGTCCTAAAAAAATTAAATTAATGGTAGAGATAATTTTTGATGAAATGGGATATTTTATCTACCATGATATGTCAATTAAAGCGAAATCTAGAAAGGAGTGATTCAAATATTATTTCATTTCGGCAATTTTGAGGCCTTTCTCAGCAAAAAAAGATTAGCCCCTTCACTTGCCTATGTGAGAAATTCACCATCTCCTTTTTTTTCTGCTTTTATTTTCTTTATAACTGTCGTTAAACAGCTGAGCTAATTTCTGGGTTTACGACTACTAATGTTCAACTCCGTAGCCATGTAATTTTGAACCCAATCCAAAAGACAAGGGAACTCCTGGATCAAGTACTATTGGGAGAAATTTGCTTTCGTGGAGGACTTTTTGATGGAACTAACCCGCATTACAATGAAAGGAACACTGCGAGAACCTCTCTCGGTTAGCCTGACGGCAAAGGGACTCTATCCCATGATCCGTCTACCACTGAGGATATTTCTCGTCAGCACTGTGGTTAGTGCAAGCCGGATGCGGATTCGTATCGATCAGCCATCGCTGGGATTCGAACCCGGTTCACCTCGTTGGAAGGCGAAAGCTCTATTCTCAGAGTCATCGCAGCTCCTTGACTTTTATTGTAGTAATCTAATATCGAGTTTTATTTCTTAAAACTAGAAAGGAGCTATTCAAATATTACATCATTTCGGCCATTTTGAGGCCTTTCTCAGCAAAACGTCCCTTTCCTTGCCTACATGAGATGCTCCCCTTGCTTTTTGCTTTGACTTATATTGTAGTAATCTAATATCGAGTTTTATTTCTTAAAACTAGAAAGGAGCTATTCAAATATTACATCATTTCGGCCATTTTGAGGCCTTTCTCAGCAAAACGTCCCTTTCCTTGCCTACATGAGATGCTCCCCTTGCTTTTTGCTTTGACTTATATTGTAGTAATCTAATATCGAGTTTTATTTCTTAAAACTAGAAAGGAGCTATTCAAATATTACATCATTTCGGCCATTTTGAGGCCTTTCTCAGCAAAACGTCCCTTTCCTTGCCTACATGAGATGCTCCCCTTGCTTTTTGCTTTGACTTATATTGTAGTAATCTAATATCGAGTTTTATTTCTTAAAACTAGAAAGGAGCTATTCAAATATTACATCATTTCGGCCATTTTGAGGCCTTTCTCAGCAAAACGTCCCTTTCCTTGCCTACATGAGATGCTCCCCTTGCTTTTTGCTTTCACTTATATTGTAGTAATCTAATTTTCGAAAAAAAAATTTAATAAAAAATGTAACTTTTCATAAAACTAAATTTACGTTTTAATTAATTTTATTAAATTTTGAGAGAATATTCCTTTTTGTGTATTCCTCTGAGGTCTTGACTTCTAAAACGCATAAAAGAAATTTTGTTCCCCTCGTCATGTACCCTCGTACTTCCTGAAATATTTAATTGACTGGTGTGCCAATCACTAAAAAGGACTGATAGTTTCGTACAAAAAGTAAAATTTTTTATTTGATTACACATCTAAACAAGTTGATCACTGAGTCGAATGAAACTGAAAAAATAATGGAAAATAACATTATAATAAATAATGGAAACATTTCTAAACTAATACATTCTTTCATCCTTCTCAAGAATTATTAAAAGAATAATTTTATAACTTCAGACATGTTTAGATCATGTGATTTCTCATACATGTCAATAAAGGCGTTTAGAGGTTTGAGGGACGAATAATAAATAACGAATGGAAAATAAAGTTTTTGAACACCCTATGACAAAAATGAAACGCTAGATTTGTAACTCGTGACAGTTATTTTGTTTGTCATATGCAATAATTGAACAAAATTTCGTTAATCCTAGCTTAAATATTTATGGAGATATGGACATTTTTATTAAAAAAAAAAATTTCTAGCGTTTTCTGCTATTATTTCAAAACGATTGGACAAAATGTTTGGAGCAATTTGAAATAAATTACAAAATTATTGCTTTAAAAATTTAAGAAAAATTTGCTTAAAACTGCGCAAGATATGAGCAGGCAAAGCATTTTTTTTATACTGCGCATGCGTGAAAAAGATATTTATTTTCATAATTTTGTAGTGAATCGTATTTGGTAACTAATGAAAAAAGTCCGATTTGAATGCCTTAAAAATTAAAAAAGTTTCAATCAATTTTCTACTTAGTTTGTGTACTAATTAAAAAGAGCTCAAAATGATAAAGGGATTTCTACAAATAACATTTGTATCATAGGAGAAAATTTAATAACAAATGATAATACCTTGCAACAAACATTCAAACCCGAAAATGTGATTTAATAAGGAAAGAAAACAGGTGAAAGAAAAGATGCTTTTATGATCCCAACAATGCTGTTATTTTTTTTAAATAAATCTTGAGTACAAAATAAAATATATCCGCCTATTATTTTGAGCTTTCTTCTTAAAGGAAAGAGAAATACTTAGAAAATTGCTTGAAATTTTTAAAATTTTTAAGATATTTAAGTCTGACTTTTTTTTCATTAGTTGCCAAATACGATTCTCTACAAAATTAAGAAAAAATATTACTTAATTTTTCCTGCTCACGTGCAGTATAAAAGAATTGCTTTAATTAGTCATATCTTGCGCAGTTTTAGACGAATTTTTCTCAAATTTGAAAGCAATAATTTTGTAATTAATTTTAAATTGCTCCAAAAATTTTGTTTGATTTTTCAAATTTTTTTTTATAGTATTATGAAATAAAACGCAAAAAAATAGTCTTCTTTTTATAAAAATATTCATATCTGCATAAATATTTAAGCTAGGATTACGAAATTTTGCGCAATTTTTGCATCAAATAATCAAAACGACAAATTTATAGCTACATTTTTTGTCATAAGTTGTTCAAAGTCGTTTTCCCCTTATTTATTGTTGGTCTCTTCAAAGTCTTAAACATCATTGATATATATGAGAAATTTAATACCCTTAACACTTCTAAATTTATGAAATGACTTCTTTAGAATGATCAACAAGCTGTTAGTGTAAAAGTGTTTTCAATATTTTGTACAGTCCAATGGTTTGTATGAACGCATTGATACCCAGGAAACATTCCAATGTAATCTTTCATTCTGAATTGAATGATACTAAACATTAATAATTAACAAGATATAAGGGATTTATGGGTTAAAAAATACAATTTTGTTCTTATTTATGCATCTTACGATGAGTTGTGGAGACAAAGAATTGTTACCTTTCCGACTTGTGCCCACGACGAATTGTTCTATCTCTGGAATGAATTGCACGTCGAACTGAGTGTAACGAATTGACGCAGAACTCGCAAAAATCAGATCATTAGATCAAAAGTTATCAAGGCAAGTTAATTTATTTATTTTATTCTTTTTATTTTTTGCATACTATACACTTCTTATGTGTTGTGGGACATGTTAGTTTTAAAGATCAATAAAGTAAAAAAATAAATAAATAAAATAAATAAAAAAAGTAATCTCTCTGAATAACTTTAAATGCAAAGATCGTTTTATTTACTATGACTCAATCGTAATGGCTCAATGGCTTAACTTTATATATTCTGATAATTGCCAATGTTTTAAGTTATGAAATAAGAAAAGAAAACGTACTTTCTCTGAGCAAGCATAGCTTTTTGTTTTTTAATAAAGTCAAATGCTTGAGGCTAAAAATATGAAGGGAACCACAATGTGGGGAAAGCAGGTAATAGTTTGGACTCGTTAATGTCAATTTTATTTTTTGCGTATTATCAAAAACCTTTTAAGCGATCTGAAATATTATGAAATTTGTTTATTCAACGATAATACCATGCAGAAAACAAGTTTTAATTAGTTTTTTTTATTATTTTCTTTAACAACGGCAAAAAAATACTACATTTTAAGACAAGCAAATTTTTACGCCATTTCAAAGAATGTACTTTTAAAGAGCACGTTTTGAACGAAATCAATCAAATAATCCATTATATATATTAAATTTTAAATATACAACATTTTTAACATTTTATTATTTAAGAACTATTAAACCAATTTTGCTCATTTACCGTTGATATTTGCATTGGTCAAAAAAATGATAAAAGTTTCAACACATTCGACTATTATACTAGCTTATGGTACAGCTGGATAATAAATTAAATATTTATTAGGATCGGTGCTTTTCGAAATCGTTTTTTGGTGAAATATATTACATTAATCAGTGAAATCTTGTATGCAAAGGAAGTGTTAGTTAAATTCGATTTTCATTTACTTAAGTGAAGGGAAATACTGATTGATATTATTATCATAATTATGTAGGACTACTTTGGGGGCTGATTTCTAGTTTTAAATATTTTGATTAAAGTTTTTATAAATTTCAATAAGAAATAAATATTATCAGTCTTAATATTTATCTGACAAATAGTATTGATTTTCTTAGATGGTATTTATATTGATGATTAATGATTTTAGTTATTTTTATCCGTACTTCTGCTCTAATAATAATTTTCGAAATATTTTATGATTATTAAAGTAATTGATGTTTAAATAGCGAAAATAATTATTGATTTTGAAGTCAAGTTATTTTTTTTCTCATTCTTGATGTTTCAATTGCTAATTTATTTATATATTGAGCTTATTTTCATCGTTTAACAGAATTGTTTATTTTTACAATTCGAAAATTTATTACAATTATTAAAAATATTTTCCTTTTTGATAAATTTTTCTTTTTATTCAATAAATTCAGTCAAATTTAATATTATAATTAAAATAAAATCTATTTAAAGGAATTATCATTTATTTTTATGCTTCAAATGTTACGGTTCCTATGGTTTTGGTAAAATTTAGATTTTTATTTTAATATTGTGCTTAGATTAAAAGAAATAAGCAATTAAAATATTTGAATTTTTTTCTTCTACATATAACTTTTAATTATTGAAATATACTTTTAATGTTTGAATATTTCTCACCTTGTTGAATTCCCCTGTTTGGAAATTTTCCACTTATATGGAAGCATCAAATAATGGAATAATTAATACAAATAATTTTTAAGATGAATTAAATACTAGTTTTCAAAATTAAAATTTTAATCGAAATAAAACTGAAGAAAAACCAGATATATTAATCTTTGAATTCGACATTGGTGTTCAGCTTGCAGTCTGGCTCAAACATTTCCAAAAATAAACTAAAGACTTTAAATTAAATGAAAAGTGGAAACTTAAAAATCTTCAAAATTGCATTCGGTGTTCATCTTTGAAATTATTTATTAATAACTGTTTAAATTGTAATTCTTTTCAGGGAATATTCAAATTTTTTCAAGAACATTATTTTATATCACCTTTTGGCTATTTTTCAAAATTTAAAATTTTCTGGCCAAATCAAAGACCTAAACTCATACAGAAAAGGTGAAAAAAAAGTAATGAACATATAATTGGGGATTTGCCTATGGGATTAATCCCACAAAGGAAAACACTTTTAGTTCTAAAAAAAACCCAAAACCCCAGTTGATTGACTTAAATTTTTTCAAAAATATTTCATGATGTACCCACTGCCCAAAATGAAAATGAACGAAAATGCCAGAATCAAAGTTAAGTGGGTATAGATAACAATTTCAAGGCTGGACAACTAGGCGGCCATTCATTAATATCTCAGATAGTTCAAATTATTATAATAATCTTCGACAAAGGCAAAATTTTTCCCAGACCCAGTCATAATTTCAACAAACAATAACAAAATAGATCTAGATTTCATAAAGTGGGTGACAGATTTAACAAAAATAAACAACAAACAATACATTTCACCCAAGTTTTTCAGGAGTTACCTCCTAGTCCTTGTAAATATTGTGATAAATTAAGGACCACCAATGTTTATTAAGGGGGGTAACATTGTATAAGCAAACCATATTTCTTTACTGCTGAGAATCAGTTCCAGCATAAAGATAAACAATAGAGAGCAAACACAAAGTTGACAATTAATAATATCCGAATACGCTCAAAATAAATAAGAAAACAATAAAAATGACAAACACCCGATTGTGACTAATAAAATTATGTTTTTAAATGTCAACACAGGTAGTACTCTAAATATAATCCCAACTAAAATTTTAAAAAAATTAGAAGTTCAAAAAGAAGGAAAAAAAATTGCCAACGTAATACAAACGAACGGTAATTTGCAACTTAACCAAACTTGCACTTTAAATTTAAAAATTGGAAATATAGCTAGGCCAGTTGAGTTTTATATTTTAAATACTGATTTACCATACGCCGTATTAAATTTAAAAGCTTGTATTGGATTTCAATTGGTGATTAATTGTGTTAAACAGGTTGTAATGCAAAATTGGAGAAAATTTATCACTTTTTCGGATTATAAAAATGACTTGTCCTTACACATTTCTTCTGAAATCCACGTTAAAAAATGCTATACCGATAAAAAGTAATGGAATTAAAAATAATATAAAGAATGTTAAATTGAATAGCAATAACAAAATAGTGAACATATTTGTGAAGATATTAAAGAAAATTAAATTTTAAACTTAAAAAAATAAGGATTTCAAAAATGTAAACAAAGGAAACTTAAATAGAAATAAAAAAAATAGACTTAAAAATTATCGAACCATTAAGATACAGGATAATCCAATGAGATTGAAAGTTATTCAAGGAGTTTTTTATTCACTGCACTATAAATTAAAGCAAAAATATATGAATGCGTCAATATTAGAAAAAAGTATTTAACCCCACTGAGAAAAAGAAGTATGGTCAAAACAACTAGAATATGGTCAAATTTACCTTGTTTCTGGCTCTATGGGAACACTAAAAAAACAAAGTAATTTTTACTGAAGTGCTTTGGTAATGACTTTTTAGTAAAATTAACAATAAAATATGCTTTTTATTACGATTTTGTTGGGTAGTAAATGGAGCAAAATTTGGTAATTTTAAGCAAAAGTTGGTAAGTAAGTACTTTATTTACTCTTACCTAGAGCTGAACAAAGGGCTATTGGTGACGGTCTCCTGAGGATGATCCGAAGACATGCCATCGCAATTTTGATCCTCTGCAGAGGGGATGGTTCCCCCCTTTGGTAGTCTGACGACTTGCACACGATATCGAGAATTTACGACAGAACACTTTAACGAGGACCTATACCGCGCACACTCGGTTCCTACACAGGCTGATCAAAGTGGTCACCCACCCGCTTGCTGACCGAAGTCATTGATGCTTGACTTCAGTGTTATACTGGAAATTGTGCTTTTACGATTAGTCCACTGCGGGGCAGATAATTTTAAGCAAAGTAAGTAATTTCAACAGTGCAGTAAACTTGTCGGCATTGTTTTTCGTCAGTGCGTTTTTTTTTCTATGAAAGCTGCAGGTTAACATCTACCAGCATTTAAAATTATTAAAAATCTGCAGTTGCGGTTATTTTAGTTGTAGTTTATTTACGTCGCACTAGAGTTGCAGAATGGGCTATTGGCGACGGTCTGGGAAGCATCCCTGAGGATGATCCGAAGACATGCCATCACAATTTTGATCCTTTGCAGAGGGGACTGCTTTTGTATATAAACAAATACCAAAACATGGCTGAACTAAACCAGTAGCTTAACTGTTACTAAATCACATAAGGGTAAATAAAATAACGCATCAGGACTGTTCCAACATCCTAAAATGGAAGCGTACAGGTAGTAGGTTCAAATTCCACTTTAACTGACCCTGCATCTATTTATTATTATCTAGATGCATCTGTTTATTCATTTATTGTTAGGCACACATACGCAGTCTTGTATGCTCTTTATAAAGCTAGGCTAAAGTGCCCTTGTCAAATTGATATACAGATAGCACAAGATAGAGAAAAGCAGCACACACATACACGCTTGGACACAGTGGAATTCGAACTCGTTACCTCCACATTACAATAGATGCATTTTTGTGTATTTTTTTTCCTTCTCTAATTTGAACAATCTCTTCTTAAACTTGATTGGGACATTTAAAGGGTCTTTTGTAATGAACACACTTATCTTCACATGCTAATATAATAAGAAACAATTTTATTTTACATGCTTACCGTGTATTGAATATAGGTAGATAGGTACTTTATTTACTTCGCACTAGAGCTGCACAATGGGCTGATGGAGACTGGGAAACATCCCTGAGAATGATCCAAACACATGCCATCGCAATTTTGATTCTTTGAAGAGGGGATAGCTCCCTTGCTTTGGTATCTGGACGACCTGCGTGCTAGTCGAGTACTTTACAGTAGAACAGTTTAGCGAGGACCAATCCCGTGTGCCCTCGGTCCCTACGCAGGCTGATCAAAGCGGTCACCCACCCGCTTACTGACCGCAGTCAGTGATGCTTCACTTCGGTGTTCTGCTTGAAACCGTGTCTTTACAATCAGTCCACTGCGGAACTGTATTGAATATAAAAATAGTCTTCTAAACTCTTGTAAAATTGAATAACAGAGATTTCCGTCGTAATAATAAACTAGAGATAAAATATGTCTGTTTTTATTCGATTCCCTGCAAAGGTCAAGAGTAGAAATTATGCTGACATATAACCGAAATAGTATCGCTAAAAAAAATTTAAAATTTTGTGAAAATTTCACGGTTATCCAAAAAACTTTCTAATCATTAATGTAAGTATTTTCTTCTAGGGAACTTAAGAACATCTCTGAAGTTAATAGGTCCCTCAGTGGACTGATCGTTAAGACACGGTTCCCAACAGATCACCGAAGTCAAGCATCACTGGCTGCGATCAGTGAGTGGGTGGGTGACCACTTGGATTAGTCTGCATAGGGACCGAGGGTGTGCGGTATTAGTCCTCGTTAAACTGTTCTACCGTAAAGTGCTCGACTTCACGTGCAGGTCGTCGGGCTACCGAAGCGGGGATGCCATACCCTCTGCAGAGGATCAAAATTGTGATGGCATGTCTTCGGATCATCCTCAGGGATGTTTCCCAGACCGTCACCAAAAAGCTCATTGTGCAGCTCTAGTGCGACGTAAATGAACTACTACTTCTTCTGAAGTTAATAGAATTCAAAAAAGTTTACATCTTAGTTAAAAGCAGATTTTCTCATAAGGATACTTCAATATATATATATATATATATATATATATATATAAGTAGCATATTGTTGAATTTGCGACTGTTGGAAGTAAATGTAACAAATAGGTCACAAAAATCACTGGATCAGAGGTCAATGAGCTCAAGTAATCATAATAATGCTCATTAAAATACAACGTATTTTTTATGGTTATTTTCTAACGTGTGATATCTCTTTTTCAACTTGATAAGGACTTATAATAAATCATACTTTGTCATGAGATGAGCAAGCAAGTCTGCATATGTAAGTATAACAATATTTTTTTTTTAAAATCTTAGAATAATAATGGTTTTTAATTATTTTTACACCAGTATTGTCTTTTCACCAAATGCTAAATAAAATGCAGGTTTGAATTGAAGCTTGGATATGTAACGATATAGAAACATATACATAATCATGCATAGAATTGCTTCTCAAATTTCTCAAATTTCATTTTTTTCTGATAGAAGCCTCTATCTCGAAAATTATCCCAACAGAATAATCGGATATCATTTTTTATTTTTTGTTGCGTATTTCGCTACATCTCAAAAACAAAGTTTGTTCAAAATTCGTTTATTTGAAGATGTGGAAAATTAAATACTATTCGTTATTTTCGATTATTTTAAGGTATATTTGCGATATTTTTAAGTATGTAATTTTAAATGACAAAACACAAAAATTTTATGTAATTAGCCTAACAATTTCTGATGTATACAATATTATAAAGTCGTGAACGTATTTTGAATTAGATATCTCCACTACTACTTGAAAGATTTCGTCAAATTATGCTATTTAAAATTATGTTATTTGAAATTACATTTCTCAAAATGATTTATGAATTTGTATACCATGGAATTCAATTTTTTCGACTGTTACCAATTAAAATAATAAAAATAATAAAATAAGTAATAAAAAAAATTGTTTTTTGCATGGAATTATGTTTGTATAAATGGATTTAATTGCGGAAATGTTTCGATTCACTTAAAGAATTTTTCAAATATAGTGAAAGACACAAAATATTCAATTATCATTTAGGAGTTGCCGATTTCATGTCAAAACAATTCGAAAACTATTTTGAGGGTCAAATCGAAAAAAGAACTGAATGTATGTTATTCAGAATAAGACACCCAGTATATTTGAAATATTGTTTGAACAAATTAATAAGCAGATTTAACTTTAGTACCTCAATTTATGAGATTGAATTATAGTGTGTAAATATTTTTAATGGATTGAAAGTAATTAAGGCGTTCCGTTTTATGTTTTGCGAGCTAATATGTTCAAATGGTGTTAAAAAGCCTGTCTGATGCAATGAAAAATATAAATAAATAAATCAATAAAATTAAAAATACAATAAAATTAAAAATAAAGAGAGAGCAGAAAAAATTAACAAAAGATAAAGAAAATATAAATTATGATTCCCCATGTAAAAATTAAAGATTCTGCAGAGATAAAAAGAGAAAGGTCACTTAGATTTTTTTTTTATATTTCCTTTCAAATTAACATCAAGGTATCATTTATGAAATCAATTGATAACATGCATTTCAAAGCCAAACTTAATTTTTATTCGTACCCATAATTAAAGTTTATCATTTATTTGCAAATTCGTGTGAATCGTCCTTCATAATTGATGCATTGATGACAATGAGTTTTTTCCCAGGTGAGAATCGCAATTTAATTTAGTAAGTGCTCTATTGCTATCAGCTCTTTTTAAATATGTATGAAGTAAGTAAATGAAGCCATAAACATATCACCTTGGAATCAAAGAGAAACAAATATAGAGTTAGTTTTTATACAGAACTTTCAAATGGTTTATAAGACTGTATTAAAATTAAGTTAATGTTTATAATTCTGAACCCAATTTAAGGAAACTTTTGTATCAAACAGTCTTCACGGAGGACTAACCTACATTAGCGTTAGGACGACTGTAAGGTAACTCATGATTTGTCTACTATTAGCACTGTGGTATTGACCAGCCATTGCTGGGATTCGAATCTGGGTTATCTCATTTGGAGGTGAAGGAAATCCACGTCCGCTACAATATTGCAGATAGGCTAATTAAAACTAAAATATATGTGCAATTGCAGTAAACAGTTATATATATATGATCAAAATTGCACCCAAAAACGTTAAGAGTTATTAAGGCTACAATACTTAACTTAAAATTTTCGCGAATTAGATAATCCATACTTAACTATTTAAAATATGTACCTAGTCCTAAGTTTTTTGATTTATAAAAATAAAATGTTCGTTTAAAATGGATTTTTCACTATATTTCATCACAAAATAATTCTACCCTTGGGCTTATTCTTATTATTCTACTCGGGTTAATTTTATTTATATTAAAAGTACGTACTTCTACTAGTATTTCGCTATTTTTTAAATTTCGTACTTTTTCATGTGTTTTTGTGTTACTTTTTGGCTCAAAAATTGCAAGTATTTGTAACAATAATGTCGAAAGATATCGTTACATTTTTCTTTGAAAATTATTTAAAATTTTCCTCAAAAAAATTATGAAAAAAAAGATAAATTGATATTCATTTTACTTTGAGTTTTTGTTTTTAGGAAATTTTTTTAAAATGATATGTAATGAAATTTTACTTCATTGTTCGCTCATTTTGCATCGTTTACTCTTCTCGAAGTGAAGAGTGAACACAAAGAGGTCACAGCATAATCACCTGTA